TGCCCAGGGCCACCTAGCTGCCCTGGAGGCAGGGAGCAGGGTCACAGAATGGAAGCCAGCTGGGTCCTGGAGCTTTGGAAAGGGCTTGCCATTGCAGCATCTGGGCCCTGGGCAGAACTGCAGTCAGTGAGAAGGAAAATGTTTGTTGGGATCCTGCTGTGGTGGGGGGCTCTCTCCCATGCCCTGCCCTCAAAAGCCCCTCACTGCCATTGAGGCCATGTGGACTCCTAGAGACCCTATAGGACAGGGTAGGACTGTCCTGTGGGTTCTGAGAGTGTACATCTTGGCAGGAGTGGACAGCCTTGTTCTTCTCCTGTCACATCCTAATACTGGGGGCACCCTCAGCAGACAGCCAGCAAGCACAGCGCCAGGCTCGTGTGGCCGCTGCAGGAAGCCACACTGTGACTCTTAAACAGGGCGCCCTCTGGAGTGCCTGGTGCTGGACTCGTGAAGGGGAATCAGGTGCCGCCTTGGGATGGCAGATGGACAATGGGACTGGGTCCTGTGCCTCTGATGGACAACGCAGAGGAGGGGTCCTGAATCAGGCTGAGCAGACCTCAGGCCGAGGGAGGGGACCTCCTGTGAGAAAGCAAAGAAGGCGACAGACAGGGCAGGGGTGGGAGGACAGCAGAGGCATGCGCTGGGTGTGTGTGTGTGTGTGTGTGTGTGTGAGAGAGAGAGAGAGAGAGAGAGAGAGAGAGAGAGCTGGGGCGGAGGCACAGGGTGGGCCTCTCTGATGAAGGAGATGGGAAGAGTGAGGTCAGAGATGGGTGGGGCCTCTATGGGGTAGGCAGAGGCTGGGGACACCAAGCTGGCAGGAGCTCGGTTGGTTCCATGACCCCTGGGAGGCTCAGGACCCCCAACCTGCATTGGGTGCTCTCCCCCACCTGTCTTCAATCAGGTGTGCCCTTCCCCTGGGAGTGGGTTGTGTAATGGGGCCGGGTCATGATGACTGCCCACCCCTTTCCCGGTCTCTCCTGATGTTGATGCTCAGAGGCGGAGGACAAGGGACACTAATTACTCTACAGCTGGCCCTTGAAGAACGCACAGGTTAGGGGCCCCAGTCCTCCTCCTGGCCCTGAAGCTGGAAACCCATGTCCCCTTTGACATCCCAGAACTTCGCTACTAAGAGCCTTCTGTCGACCAGAAGCTTTACCGAGAGCAGAACACGTCGACAACATGGTTCATACGTGACAGGCATTGTGTCCTCCACCCACAGAGAAACTGTGGTTGCAATA